CTAGAAGACTGTAACAGGTTATATCGACGTCATGTATTTCTTTGTTGCTGCCCTTGTGTTTAAACGTTCCTATTACGAAAGCAGCTAAGTTTATAACCAAAGACGAACTTGTACAGTTTAAATATTTTGCATTATTTATTTATTTTATAGGTGAACTATATCTTTGTACGTTTCCTATAGAAGATTCTAATGATTCATAGAGCATTTCACTCGCGTGACATGTCATCATGGTAACTTATAACATTATTTATTTATTTATATTTTATTCTGTTTGTTTCTGGGTAAACAAATGATTATGTATTTATGTAACACTTGGAATTTATAGAAATTACTCGACACTTGTCACTGTTAGTAAAAATGTTATTAACTTTTAACTAATCATGTATAAATAATTTCTGTAGAGTCACTAACTATCTGACTAGGATTTCGCGTTTTAGCGTACGTGTAGGCACTGACAACCTAATTGTATTTCGGCTGTCATTTGTTATGTTGGCAGGCAGTGTTTTGGGACCTCTTTGTCATAGAGTGCCTGTGTGCGTGACACCTTAATAACATGTATAATTATTACACAGTTTTCTTTTCAATATTACACAATAATATAACTTACAACGGTCATTCTCCTTGTAGTTTGACTAGAACCAAGTGTTATTATTGTAAGTTTTGCCTAAGATTTTTTTTAGAGATAACACGTTTTATAATATCCTAAGTTATGGGTCGAATTTGATAAAAATTGTTATTTCAACCTTACCCTGTATTAACAATTACTTATGAAATGAATAAATGTTTCTGAAATAATAGTTCTAGGTTACAGAATAATATTTTATGAGCAAATTGCAAATCTAACAAGAAAAGCTGCTTTGAATCACCTTTGTTTTTGCTTATTAGTAATCAAATTTGTTTTAGTCACCTTTACGTGTTGTTTTTGTTTATTAGCAATCAACTTTGTTTTAGTCACCTTTACGTGTTGTTTACACAACAATTATTAGCAATCAACTTTGTTTTAGTTCTAACTATGAGGATCTCATTAAAGTTTAACTTGCGGGTTCTGGGCGTACACAATAAATAATGAAAATGTGGTCGTATTTTACCCAAAGCCATCAAATATCATAGGATTAACTTAAGAAATTCATACGCCTGGGGAGAAAGCTTAGCTTCTGTTATATTTACCAATATGCGGTATTGCTTCATTCCTTACAAACTCATCTCTTTTAAAAACCTTCCAGCTCATAAATAATGTACAGATATTTCCTATTTAGGTGTTCCTCGGTAGCTCAGCGGCAGAGCTAACTTGCCGAGGGCTTAAAATGTTTTAATATCCGCGGTGAGAAAAGTACAGATAGCCCATTATGTAGCATTGGACTTAATAAGAAATAACAATTAACAAACAATAATAACTTTTTAGGTAAAAACTTTCATACTTCGTTTAATTACTTAATTATAACGATTCTAGGAACGTGTGAGTGATAGCAGCCAAAAACATGTAATCATATGTCAAATGTTATACATATTATGTCTGTCGTATCAAGTGTCGACGAGGCCTTTCGCCTAGTATTAGTAACAATCAGGCCTGCTAAAACGAAGTGGTGTAAACGATATTTATACCATCAGTTGCATGAATTGCACAACGTTAATGGTGTGAACTCGATAATTGAAGTACAATTGTTATCAGTCCCACGCTGGGACAGCGGTAAGTCTACGTATTTACCACGCTAAAATCAAGAGCTCGATCCCCTTCGGTGGACACAGCAGATAGCCCGATGTGGTTTGCTATAAGAAAAACACACAAGAATTATCAACTTTATTTAAGTAATTTACAAATCAATAAGGATGACTAAAACAATATTATTTATTTATTTCATTTTTAACACTAATTATTTATGATTAATATCTTTACCTGAATTAATTTTACAGTCATTCAGAAGAACTGGCGAGCGAGTAAACTAGCATTACGTGTTGTAAACCTTATCAAAAATAAACATCTTCTTCACAACAAGATTGGTGATCTGAATTTCCTGTATGCTTACGAATTTTTATATGCCCCCCCCCCCAAAAAAAAGATCGTTAAATAAAATCACTCGCTTTTCATGAGATATTTGCATCACAATTTGAACGTAAGATAGATTAGCAACTTCCCACTTTTCGATTTTACACAACTAACTGCATGGAAACATCTGCCAACTTTGTTCTTAATCAGTATACCTACGTCAATAGTAAACACAAATATAAGCTAAGCTTTTGTCCTTGAATGACAGTATTTCTTGGTTTTAATGTATATACTATTACTTATTACAACAATGTAGCAACAACATGTAGCAGACAAAACAAACAAACAAAAAAAAAACATTCTGTAGACATAATAAGCTATATGGTACACTGATTACGAACTTAAGTTATACATATTGTACAAAACTTGTTTGAACCAGTTTTTGTAAATTACTTTTATATATCTAAGTCTTATTTTATTGCTTAAACATGTCCGGTACAATAGTTCCATTGAGTTGTATTTAAGCTATGTTAAATGAATAATAATAATACAGTGGTTAGAAAACGTTTTCATTCTACTGTTCATTTTAAGTTTCGTATAAAAAAATATTAAAATCATTATTTTTGGCAATAAAGTTGGAGAAAGAAAAGAAAGATTTTTACTCTCCATATAACAACATTTTTATTTTTATTTCAGCCAACGTTTCGCCTTGCGGTTACACCAACGCTTGTACTACTAGTTAAGATGAAGTTGCAAAGACGAAACGTTGGCTGAACTATTTTTGTTATTATTATCATCTGGAAAGTCAAGGTTGTTTTTCTCCTTAAGTTTACTGCCAAAATGTCCAAATCTCTCCAGTATGCACTACAGATTCTGAAGAAGAACAAAATAAGTAAACATTTCTTGCTAAACGAGGGATAGGACACCAATAATATTAATACATCACGATTCAAATAATGTTGCAGAAGAACTACTGTACTGTTATTATTGTATATATATATATGGACACTTCACAATATGTTCCGCAAGTAACTTATTAGTTTATCTCTGTTCTTCATTTATGGTATTAATTTACCAGTAATTCTTTTATTGTTAAAATAATTACCTATAGCTTGGTGCTCAATGTTTACGATAAATGAAAAAAAACAAAAACAAACAACACACACACACACAAAACAGTTGTTGTATTTGTTTGTTTTAGCGCAAAGGCACACATTTGGCTATCGAACCCAAGATTTTAGCCTGTAAACTTACCACTGACCCACCAAAGGTCCAGCTGTTGTAGATTTCAGCTTGTTTGAAATTATTCAATTCGTGCGCGGCATTTGAAATGCAATGGAATGACGCCCAAATTCATTTTCAAGCGCTATTGTTATTGTTAACTAAAAATATATCAATCTTTTTCTTAGTCACTTTTCTGATGCCGAATATTTTCAAAACTAGTTCAAAGCAATATAAGCACTTTTTCGGATATTATTTATTAAAGCACGTATTGTGTAAACGTAGAAAAATCATCACTATTAGTTGAGATATACAGTTTTACATTTTAGGTGACATATGATAATTTGACATAAGACTATGTACTATATGGTTGTGGCTGTTACAAAATCCATGGATGTTTCTCTGACTGTATGTTTACGAATTTGGGTGAAGGTGTAAGATATATAATTCTGCGTGTAATATTTCACTTTACTAACCAGTGCCAGTGTTTGATCTTATGGCATTCTTACAGATACTCGCAGTACACAATGTATTGTCTCGCAATGTTTTCCGATGGTTATTACAACTAGTATAAACGCCGCCCTGTGGGCGGCTGTTTGTGTTAATAATTACCAATCGTAGTATTCATACCTCATTAGAAAAAAAAAAAAAAAGTGAAAAAGTGAACACTTTCTAAAAACGGATTTTTGTGGAAAGTACTGCACGGGAAAAGTGTTTGGATTGTGCTGATATAAACTGTAATGTTTTTATATATTAAAAGTGGTATCCTTTATTTTAAGAACTTCATTTTTTGTATTATATTTACAAACTACATCAATAAAGATATAATCAAACACTCACGTACAGCACTAGTGAAAGTCGTGTTCTTGTTGTGGGGTGAGTACTTTTATTTAGAATTGTGTTTTGTGATAAAGAAATGGTTGTTGCACATACCGTAGTCATTTTTCTACTTGTCTGAATCTTGAATACCCAAGGTGTGAAATTTTTTTATGAATTTTTGTTTGTGGTCTCTTTCAATAGATGACGCTACATTGTATTTGTTATTTCGGACAAGTACATAAATACATATATACACGCTACGTCCATTATAGTAATATGAGTATGATACTGATAGGCTTTAAAGCTTCATTTGGTATAAGCTAAATCTAAATTGCATTTTAAGACTAACGCAACTTCATGTCAATATAGTATGTATGTGTGAAATATCTGATTAAAGAAAATAGCGTTTTAGATTTACAACAGTAAATAATACATCTGACATTAGTGATGAATTCAATGATACAGAGATAACTGGATTCACACTGCTGAAACTTGTAAATGTTAAATATGTCACGTACGAATACCTCCCTAGTGGGTTACCTGGTGGGTCAATGGTAAGCTTACGCTAAAATTCGGGTTTCAAATGAACACGGTGGACAGAGCACAGATATTCGATTTTGTGGATTTACGATAAAACAAACAAACAACTCAAATAATGGGTGCCTTTATAATGGTATTGAACAGCTTTTCGGTTAAAAAATTTGCTATATTTTACATTTCTATAACTTATAAAGCCAAAATGTACACTCTGTTATGTATCAATATTGGTTTTAACACTTAAACTATACAATTTTTTTAGAGCAATAAATGTTATTTTCAGTTCAATTCTTAATAATTTAACGTTTTAAAAGCAAAACATCTTTCACAGATTTCACTCGAAGGGGGAAGGATAAATCTATTAGTTTGTCTGAGTGTTGTTTTCCAAACTTATCAGCTTGCGATGGATTGAGAATGATTCCGATGAGGGCGTTGCAATGAGTGAAATTTTAAAGAGGGAATTTTTAAGTCCTTTTTTGTTTATTATTTTGGTTTGTAAATTGGATTTAACACCAGTGTATAACGAGAGATGGATTTTCTATTGCTCACAAAATGTGTAGATACTTTGTTGCTTACTCTTGATAAAATAACGACAAGTGTGTGTTGGTAAAATGTGGATCTTCTAAGTTCTAGTCAAACAACTGGGGAATGTGTTTTTTTGAATATCAAAATAGTTTATGACAGTATTCACGCGTTCCTATAAATCTGGGAAGTTTTATTAATTTCCAAATGCAGTCAGCAATTGCTTATTTAGTTGTTTTTCGTTAGGTGAGTTTTAAAAAAATATTTGGTGAAAATAATAGTTCAATAATAATATTAATACGAAATATAGTCCACGTAATTATTATACTAATAGTAATAGTTTAGTTCATTTCTTCAATAACATTTATGATTTACTAATATTAGTAATAATACTACAGATTACGAATACTGTCGTTGTACATGTTGGCCTAAGTTCAACAATAACTTATTCACATTCAGCTGAAATTTATTCATGCTGTCATGGTACAATTTCACGCCTAATCGATCGAGTAACTGAATATACGTTATAACTAACAACGATCTCAATCATTCACTTTGACCTACACTCCACTAGTACTAATTAAAACTGACTGGCTTACTACTAACTACTTACTCATGATTATAACTAATGTGCCAATCTGGATCTTATTCTTAGTTGAATCAACTGGATCTTAACCTCACGCACCCTGTACTAATGTATAAATTAAAACATCAAAAATATAACTCAAAACAGTATTATGTTGGTGTTTGTTTTATTTCTTTGTACAAGGGCCTGGCATGGCCTAGTGGTTAAGGAGCTTGGCCCACAATCTGAGGGTCACAGGTTCGAATCCCTGTCATCAAACATGCTCACCTATTTAGCTGTGGGGGAGTTATAATGTGACAATCAATCCCATTATTTGTTGGTAAAAGAATCTCCCAAGAGTTGGTGGTGGGTGCTGTTGACTAGCTACCTTCTCTCTAATCTATCACTGCTTAATTAGGGATGGCTAGTACAGATAGCTCTTTTGTAGCTATGCGTGAAATTCAAATCAAACAAACCAATCTTTGTAAAGCAAAACAGTTAATTAAAATTGATTTTCATTGTTTTGAATGTGTCCAGATCATTTGTTAATCCACTGTTATGAGTTTTTTATGTTTTTAAACTTGCTTAAATTAAATGCGATACCACTGGTGTATAAAACATAAAAGAGGTTATTAATACTACTGTTAGTACTAAGAAGATGCTAACAGAATTAATTCAACACTACATCTCATTTTCTGCATGTTTAACACTAGCAATGTAACACTGCAGGTTTATTTTTATTTCAGGTTGATGTAAAGTATACATAAACATTTTTCATATGTTATTACCATTGTTTTTGTTGTAGATTTTGTTTTATAAATGATTTCCAACCTTGTATGCCTTTTCTAGATTAGTGTACTTTTTAGTTTCTACTTCTTGCAACCTCAGTTGTATAGTTATAGCTACTATGTAATTACTATGTTTTAGTGTGTATGCATGAAACTTCATAGTACATTTCTCTGTTGTGTTTCTTCAGAAAAAGAAACA